GTTCCGGGTTCTGTGATGACGTCATAGCGACCTGGGTCACGTCCGTGGAGTCATTTAGAGTACATAGTGCAAAGTTTGATTCAGGATTCGGGTTCTGTGATGACGTCATAGCGACCTGGGTCACGTCCGTGGAGTCATTTAGAGTACATAGTGCAAAGTTTGATTCAGGGTTCAGGTTCTGTGATGACGTCATAGCGACCTGGGTCACGTTCGTGGCGCCATTTAGAGTACATAGTGCGAAGTTCGTTTCATGGTTCTGTGATGACGTCATAGCGACCTGGGTCACGTGGGTTACGTCAGTGCGGGTCCGTGGCGCCATTTAGAGTACATAGTGCAAAGTTCGATTCATGGTTCGGGTTCTGTGATGACGTCATAGCGACCTGGGTCACGTCCGTGGCGCCATTTAGAGTACATGTGTCAAGTTTGATGTGTCTTATAACAGGATGCTGTGGTGGTGACGTAACTATGAGGGTCCAGCAGCTAGCTTCATGTTGTACCTGGTAGAGGGTGTTCGAACTTAAGGATGATACACACCTACAGTATTGCTCATTTGACCTCGTGTGCTACCATTTACGACGCCATAACTAAGTCATCAGCTGTTTAAACAACCTACGTCAAGGCGAGAAATAACATGCTGCTTACGTCACAACTGGTGATTTAACGTTGGGGAGAGAGTGGATTTGTTCCACACAGGCCTTATGAGGATAGGCTATCCTGTAGTAGTAGTGTGTATTATCCTTGGTTGGAACCAACGTTTGATGGAAAGAGGCCTCGTTTTTTTATTAAAAACATACATTTTTTAAGACAACGATTTCAAAAAGCGAATATTTTTCATCAATAAACTGCTTAATATGATCCAATCATTTTGGTGGTACGTCTTGGGAGAAACACTGCGTTATCGTCAAATTCGATGAGTATTTCAAATCCATAGCTAAAAATATGCCACATCAATTGTATCGATTACCTAAGTATATAAGATATTTACTTACTAGGTTAAAATAATAATTTCTGTACAATAGTTTTATGATCTACCTTAATTTGTATAGTTTATTGGTTCCAGTAAAGATTTGCAATTATTTTGAGGTCTCTATCGTAGAAAATATTGGGAACTTTCACTTTATACCAGGTCTTATAATTTTCTCAGTGTTTTTGATCCTTTGTTATAAAAAGACAGGCCTTGTTGATTGATTTCAAATCCATATCTAAAATATTCCATAATTCTATCGATATCGATATTCACTTACTTGGTTAAAATGATAATTGTTGTGCAATAATTTTATTGTTGTTGACGAGTCTCAAACAAGACTGAAAGAGCTTAGTTATTATAAAATCCGATTCAAACTTCGAATTAACAACATAACATACAAAAAACGCTGTCAAAATATTGGAAATTTCACTTTCTATGAGGCTTCAGGTCTTGTAATTTTCTCAGTGTTTTCAATCCTTTGCTATAAAAAACAGGTCTTGTTGTTGATTGATATTAGTATATAAGATATTTACTTACTTGGTTAAAATCAAATTAATTGTTGTACAATAATTTTATATTTTCCACTGGTGACGAGGTTGAGCAAACTGAAAGAAGCTTGTTATTATAAAATCCGATTTAAACTTCGAAGTATCACATACAAAAAACACCGCTAAATGCAAACGCTTAATCGGCAGTTTTTTTATCTGAATTATATCAGGACCATTCGCAGAAGCCGCCCGCGAAAAACAACAACACATTTTAAAGATAATTTTTTAGTTTAAGGCGTAATTATTAAGTTAGATAGGTATTAATATGTCCATTTTTATTTTAAAAGGTGACAAATTCAAACAATTTATCAAAATTTAAAAGAATAGATTTAAATTAGCATCGTTGACATTTTATGAGCCAATACCCTATGCAATACAAAATTTCAGTGGATACATTGTTATTGTTACCTGTAAAAGATGAGGATTCAATTTTTATTCTTTGTACAAAAAACGCAGCATCCAGTACCAGTACTTTGAACCTGGATTTTCAAAGTTTGGTTTCTTGGGTGATAAGTGTCGGTTTCGAAAAACTGTAAGTACTATTTTTAAATATCTAAGTGATGTAGGATAAATCATGCCCTGAGACATATTTTAAATTAACACAAACCTCGATTATTGAATTATTTTTATTTTCCTTAACACATAAACATATTGTTTGTTTTTTAAAAATACAGACAACCCTGAGTACCTACCTATTTCTTAATTTAATTCCAATAGTTTTTTACGCAGCAACTTGAATTTACTTTTTCACTTACATTTGCACAAAACTCAAATTTCTTTTTCTAAAATTTAGGTAGGTTCTTTAACCAATTTAAACTGGTTTTATTTTTTCATTTACTTTTAAAACAAACCTCCATAAACAGCGAATTTTTAATTTTGTGCACAAAATCGTTCACCAGGAAGGAGATAACCTGAAACGTCATGGGATTGCTAATCATCTTCCAAGATCTGTAACCAATGTGGTGGGATTTTTAAAGCAGAGGGGGCTATCCAACACCACCCAAACACCCAGCTCCAAGAGAGCCTCCAAACGAAAGGCTGGAGATCCCGCCGCCCCCATGCTGAAGCAAGCTAGACTTTTGCTGGTAAGTTGACATTAAGCGAATTTTTTAAATCTAATTCAATTATTTTCAGGACTTTCAATATCAGCCACATGCCGGTGGTGTGAGAATTGCGATTTGGAGGCACCGATAAATCAATGGGTTGGTCATCTTCGGTGTCTCTAGCACCGAGCCAACACCTGGTGAAGCAGGAGGAAGACGTTAGTCTTGTCAAAACATCTTTCAAGAACCGAATTGAAACATAGCGG